TAAACGAAATTTTATTTAGTCCGTCAGTTAGATGATCAAAAAACGGACACGTATTTTTTCTATGGGCAATCAACCAAAAAATGAAAAAGTTATCTTGTGTATTAGTTAGCTCGTGACGTCACTTTTGAGTGAAAATTGTACTTGTTTATATATATATTATAATATATCTCTGCAATGTTTATATTATGTGATAAAATAAAAAATACGTGTCCAATACGTTTTGATAATCGACCTGATAAACGAAGTAAAAAAAATTAGTCATCAACCCTATTCTGTGTGGTTTTCGCAGTAAATTGAATTTGAATGACAAATTTGTGGCCTTACGTCACCCTTTTTATTTTCCTAAATGACAAACTATTATTGTTTGGAAATATTTCTTCTAATGTCTTTGTTAATAAGTATTTAGAGGCATGCAATGATATGACACGTTGCTTAGATGTGCTTCTTAACTTTTATTAAGGACGACGTTAAGACCTTTAGAATAGTAGTAGAATAAGACCTTATTTCTCTGTTATTTGGCTAGCAATTGACATCTTGTATAAATAAATAAATAATAAATATTTCCAACGCTCACACCAATTAGCCTATCCCCAAAGTAAGCACTGTAAGGCTTGTGTTATGGGATACTAGGGTAATTGATAGAATACATATACAGTACATAATTAGTATATTTATATAGAAAAACATATTTAAACATCCATGACTGAAGTACAAATGCTCGTATTCATCACACAAACATCTGCCCCCACCGGGATTCGAACTCGGGACCTCTCAAATCGGCGACACCATGAAACCCGGCGTACAAACCACTTGGCCACGGAGGTCGTCGTATGGCTGTGATATGTTATTACTTATAATGAAATAAGTAACTATTTTACTGCACAATGAGTATAAGTATTATGTTATTAAAGTATTATAAATTCCAAGACGCTCTATCATAAGAATACATCCTAATATTATTCTAATTGAGGTTTTTTACCAATTCAACTGCCATTCTTATGGCTATTTAAATCTAAAATTAGTTAATAATACTTGCGCCTACTTAAAACTAAACATTTGCAGTATTTTTATCTCATTTTCCCTGTGTGCAAATACAGAAGCAACATGATCTTCATAGCAATATGAACTTTATAATAATCTACGTAAATATTATAGTGCTTTGTAAAGATTCCCTTGTTGTAAGGTGAGGAATGTAAAGATGTAAAGTTTGTTAGCGTGAATGGCCTTTGTTGATTCCAAGATAAGGATGACAATGCGGGATCGGAGAAACGGATATTGTTACCCTAGGTCTTTGTGGTGTTATTGTATAAGAGAAATTACTATCAATGAGTCACATTAGGTGCAACTGAGACAAGGCTTCGTTCTGTTATTGAAATAACATAAATGTTGTAATTGTGGGTTACCTACAATGCGAAGAGATGGCGCTGCCTTGCAGCTTAAGAATGGCTAGAAGAATTTCGACGCAGCCGTCAGGGCCGCGGTAGCATAATTGGTCAGTGCATTCACCCGGATAGCGAAGGTTGCGGGTTCGAGTCCCGTCTGCTGCCTGGCCCGCGATTTTTAGATTTTTTTCTAGTTGTATTTTCTTTAGATTTAAACATCAACATCTCCTTCCTACAATCTGGGGTCCTTTAAGAGAGGCGTGAAGAAGCATTTTTGCAGGCCGGCAAGTGAGGATGGTTGGTGTAGCAGTTTATAACTGCTGTACCAGCTATCTTCGCGTTTGGACTTTATCACCACTTAACATCAGGTGGGGAAGAGTCATTTGCCTACCTCGCTATAAAAAAAAAAACGAATTATTTATATATGAATAAAATTAGACAATAGTAATCTATATTGTTTTTAAACTTTCATGGTCACTAACATTATAGATATTAACGGGATTGTTACCACGTACCTTGTTTTTTATGAGTAACTCCGTGATCATGGCGCTTGCAACAGTGCCGAAATATCGGAGACTCATAAAAAACAAAGGTAAGTACATGGCAACAATCCCGTTAATATCTATAATAGTAATTTATGTTATTTACGCGATGGCTACCCATGATCATGCCAAACTCCGTGATCGTGGCGCTTTCAACAGTTCCGAAATATTGGTACACGTAAATAACATAAATTACTACTGCTTTTATAGGCAGTCCAATTTCTGTTTATACATATGTATGTAAATATACGGAACTTTGCTAATGCTAGTGACCATGAAAGTTAAAAACAATAGAACTTGAACTCTTTATAACAAACAGAAAAACACAAACATTTTGTTTGTACTAAGAAGAAACTGAACAATAATATGATATAACTGAAGTATTTGTCAAGGAAAAACATGATATGCATCATCGTAAACATATTATTTGATCCTGTTTTCTGTCAAATTAAATATAATACCCGCAAAAAATATATAGTTTACCTCATGTATGAAGTATTTGTGATGTCATTGTTAACATAATAATTATAGATAAATTACTGCAGCTTAGCAAAATTGCGTGTTGCTATTAGTACGAGTTCTTCCATTGGAATATATGAGTTTTGATGATACATTGGATCTTTATGTTATATTGTTTTTTATTGTAAATATGATCTCATATCGCCACATGCATCGTCACCGAAATGGTCTCGGATTCGACGTCTTCATTAGTCAATGTAGGTAATAATTAAGCTTTTCTTTAATTTTATTTGACTTTTACTCTCTAAAATCCCTTTTCTTATTATTATTGTCCGTAGTGTTTATTAAGACATATATTGTAAGTTGCCTACAATTCTTAATTTTATTATGTTTAACTCGACTAAGGAAGAAGCTAGGAGTGATCTTATCCAGATTGGATAATTATTTGACTTAAATATATTCTACACCTTTTACTATCTAAGTATAAATAACAGTATTTAAAAAAAAAAACTATTATTTGATTAGACACTTCTCGAACATTATCGTTGTGACCACGGTTAACAGTAAAACCGGTCTTCAAACTTGTTCAACACGAAAATGTAATGAGGCTGCCGGCTCTGATCTAATTCACAGAATATTTGTTTTAATATGAAATTGATTCAAAAAGTCATACAGCAATTTAAAATACGTGCTTAAAGAATGACTAAGCAATAAAAACGTAATTCGATAGAGAAATTGACGTAGCACTTTGCGGTAAAATGCCTTAATAATTAAGTAGGATGATAATAAATTTATTTCTAAATACCCAAAACTAGACGTCACTAACCAGTTATTTAGACATTTTTATTTGCATTGGAATTCAACAATGCAAGAAGTTTAAAAATGTTACATTGCAGAACTTTTTTTGGAATAAAGAAAGAACCGAGATTGTAGGGCTGCGTTCCAAACTTACGCTGTAGGCGCAACAAATGTAAAAATTGACATAAGTTTCATATATTTTAAAAAACATTTTGTAAAAAGTTAAACTCAGTGTCAGAGCGTAGGTTTGGAATGCAGCCCAGAAACTGCATCTAGCATCGCAAGGAATATTTGCTAGTGTGATTGGCACCAGCATTTTATGGGATTCCTTTTTATACTTTTATCACATCAAGCAATCCAACGTATTTACATTTTTTTCTTAATTTTAAAGCCACTAGCCAGAATAACGTTCAAAAAAATTACCGGAATTTACCACCTGTACGGAATACCAAAAGAAAACTCTGGTAAATTCTTGGAATACAAGCTGCAATTCGTTACGCGATCCTGGATATATCCGGGTGGATTATGCTTCGAAATTCGAACACTACAAGACACTTGGCAATAGATACAACGATGCATTCGTAAATAACAGTATGGAAGCAAAGACATTAAAAGCAGCCTTGGACTGAAAGCGAATCAGAACTATCTTTCATCCTTGTCCTCAGCGTAGGCTTGGAATGCGGATCGCTTTAAAAGCTATTTACGCGTACCGTATGGACAAATCCGTGCTGGAAGCTGCATTAATGTTTCATTGCCAATTTAATTAGGTCCTAACCGCACTATATTTGAAATGATTCATTTGCAATTTTATAATATAGCATCATAACAGCAACTCATCAGTCATATTTACATTACAGACGTATTGATAAGGATGTACTAATTAAAATATTTAATGTATTAATTACAACAACTTTGAAAGTACCTAATGTATAAATTGTAACACAATAAGAACGCTATCGAAACTATTAAAAAATATCGGCTGAGTGCGAGTCGGACTCGCGTACGAAGGGTTTCGTACCATTATCTATTCAACATTAGAAAAATAATAATATCGAGCAAAAAACGGAAAAAATATCTACAACCAAAGAACTACATTCCATATATTTTTTAAAATTTTTAGATGCAGTAGTTTCGGAGTTAAGGCTTCCCCTTAAGGGGAGACAGGTCCATTTTTTATATTTCTTAGTAATTTTTTAAACTACATAATCAATGCATTTGGAAAAAAATACGTTTGAAACACCACATTGAGCCCTTTCATTTGATATAAACCGGTCCGGTTAGCTAAATTTTCATTTTTTAGTTCACCCCCCAAAAGAAACCTATATTCGGAATTTATTTATTTCATTTATTCGTCCGTGTTTGGCCATACATGTTTGTACTTAATTTGAAACGGAATTGTTCGCTCCAGTAGATTTCGAGCAAAAATACTGTGACAGACAGGCAACCGAGAGAGAGGTTCCGTTTTTGCCGATTGAGGTACGGACCCCTAAAACTAAACGGTTGTCGATTGCGATACCGGGAATATACATTAATTTTCCTCAATAAACTCTGCTAATACGAAAATGCGATAACCCAGTTTAGTTCTGAAAAGGAAATTGATTGCTGCCTTTTAATGTATTCTTGATATCAAGACCGGATTTAGTATAGGCCCTGGGCCAACAGAATAGTGGCGGCCGCCTGCCCTGACTTAAATTTAGCCGTGCTTTATGTAGATGAGTATATGTATTGAGCTAAATGTCTTTCTTGTAGTAGCACGATTCAGTGGGTAACAATGGATAAGAATAAAGGAAATACTTGATTTGATTTTCGTTTGTTCCAGACATATGCGGCGCAGAACACGGCAGGCAACTCCCAGACGATTCTCGACAGTCTGAACAACAAGTACTATTTCTACACGAGAACGAGGGGTTTGTTCCGTATCTGCTACCCCAAGGAACGCCCACCTACAGGTAAGAATAAGAGATAAAATGTTTTTACAGGGTAATGAAGTTTTCAATAGCGAAGTTTTTGTGTAACTGGGAAGGGTCACTTGCAGTGGGGCAATTGTTTAGTATCACTCCTGATTCACATACGAATGAAAGCCATGATTCATGTCTTTAGAGACGCTTGACAAAAATTTGTACGACATCTGTTAGCCATCTTGATACCCGGTTATGCTACAAATTGGACCTGCCACTAACAGCAATAAACCTATTCCGCCTTATTACTAAAAGGTAGACTAAAGTTAAACCTAGATTTAAACTGATGTCACTTTTATTTGCTAAAGAGAAGACTGAAACAACATTAGGTTTAAACCAATGCTTACTTTAGTCCGCGTTTTGGAATAAGGCGGCTTAAGACTATCGCCTTGTTCATGTGATAAAGGATGTGCTCATATCGGTTTCGTAGTGAGTGAGTAATGCATTCTTATAAAGCTTAATATTTCTAAAGGTCAAACGTTGAATACGTAGTTCAATCATTATGTTTTAGTAAGCATGAGTCGTTTGCATTGACAACAAGTGCAATATTTTAGTTAGGTATTTGATAAACTAATAAATAAATGATCATAATAACTTTACTTGGTATACGAGTGAAAGTACTTTTTTGTTCATCTTACCCACAAGAACTAAGACATATATTACTGTCTTCGGATTAGACAAAGTTCAAGAATAAAGCTAAATTTGTATAATCGATAAATAAATATGGGTCATTTTCAAATATACTTCCGGACACATCTATCGGCCCACTTAGTGTTGTAAGTTTTAACGGTCTGTAGCAAAAATAAATGTTTATGGTTGAACAATAATTTTAAAAACACACGAAAAGATGGTTCATATTTAAGCCTCAAAACTGCGTAAGTAATAACTTTTTGCCCAATGTAACATTTTTTAGCAAGGGATAGTCAAAACTTGAAATGTTAAGCGGGCCGATTAATGTATCCGGAAATGTAGTATACAAAGGACATTGCTCAGCGTCCATACATAGTTAGCCTAAGAACCAACAATCATGAAATATTATTTTCTAGGTTCAAAGTCGTAAGTAAATGACTGTAAAAACAAAGATTATTGACGGACACTTCTGAGAACTTAAATTATTAGGAAAACTAAAATTTTTTTGAGGTTATGTTTAATATTCAATGAAACATAGGTCAACCTATGAATTTAGTATGAACTCAGTATGAAGTGAATTAATATTACAACTAATTCATTTTATTCGGTGCTATTTTAAAGAATAACTATTAGGAAAAACTTGGTTAGGTAGGAATCATGAATAAAATAAAAACTGTAGTTTTGCTTCTTATTTAATGACTATTTTTCACTTAATTGTATCATATTGTTTATTGTATTTATTTGTATATCACATTATATTGTGTAAATATGCAGCGTGAATGTGTATCAGGTGTTCTTGAATAATTTGGCTATTATTATTGATTAGATCCTCTCAGGATGTGGCACAGGTTCACTAGCACTTGGTAATAAGGGCTCTGCTCTTTGGTAATATCGATGGCATATTAGATAGCCGATATAGTTAAATTAAAGGAAAAACAATCGCAAATAAACACACACAACAGGTAATCCGAAACGAGAATGCACTTTCCGGTATATTATATACTACTCTTTGGAATGCACGAATGCCACAGATTACTACAAATGAAAACTGCATGCACCACAACCACAGAGTAAAGAATTTTATGCCGGCCCTTCTCTTGACAACAGTTTGTCCTTGTCATGCTTAGTAAGGAATGAAAAGGACAGACTGATGTCATGTTTTAAAATAGCAAATACGAATAACCAAGTGAAGTGCCGACATTAGGAAGAAAAAGTGTTTTGTTTGCAGCGCTGCCATAGATTATACACATAAAATGGTATTTATTGTCTCAGATTATTTTTTAACTTTTTAATTTAGCTTACTTAACTGGAAGTGTCCGTCACAATCTAAATACTGATAATTATCGCAAAAAATATACTAAGAATTATCATAAATGCCAAATTGGTGTTGGTTCTTAGGCCAATTTTAACATTGTCCTTTACTCAATACAAAATTGATATTAAAATTATAAGTCAACACAACTACAGTATTCAGATTGCAATGCATTCATTGCTTTTTTGTTCGATAATATAGAATAGGGTATTTGACAAGATATAGAAAAAAAACTCACGTTATTTACTAATATTTATGGAGTACATCACAAGTGGATATTGATCATTCTGTTGTGTATTTTAGTAAAAAACCCAAATAAAAAAAAAAACTTTTTCGAGTTGCCACTAACATTAAAACGTTAAACGATACAGTATAATGTCACATTGACAGAAAGTTTACTAGCGTGTGACATCATTTTGGTCTTCTCTAATCCCAGGCGATTTCGGTCCTGTGACCACAGTACAAAAGAAACTTTAAAAGTTTTTTTAGAAAAGCTGTCTTTTATTTATTTTCTCAAAATAGTAAAATCGCAGCTAATATTCATATTAAATACAGATGCCAACAATTCCTAATCTTTTATACTGTCAAATAGCCTTTTTACCCGGCTTGCGCAGCCGCCCACTGTTGAAAAATATTATGTATTCTTGAATATCTAATGGGTCTCGACTGTTAAAGTAGCTTTGTTCCTTATTAAAAGAATTATAGACTACTGGACTTGTTTTTTTCTTTTCAGTTTTTATTTGAAGTATAATTAAGCAGTCGGGTTTTTTGATTTTTTAAATTTATCTTTTTTTTGAACGTTACAAAGTTACCATATTGCAACCTACCACAAGCTTTACTGCTGTACTAAATACAGCTAATTAATTATACTATCCACAGTTTCTCTGCGAGTCCACCAAACGGTGTAATCATTGTATTTACGCTAATTGAGTGTGCATGATTATGATTACTACAAACTATTGGAGCATTCAGCATGTAAGTAGTTCTCCTTGTTAAAGGACTGTCAGTTTTATTTCTTGGAGATATGATTGAATTCAGCATTCATAAGCGGTATGGTCAGTGGATCAAGCGAACGGTACCTTGGTTTTAAACTGGTGCTCAACCGTTGACGAAGAACAATAAGTAAGATTGTTTGTGTAAATTGATGTACTATGTGGACTACAATAATTATATCGTAATTTGTGGTATTTACGCGATTGCTACCATGTACCTATCCCATATCCCCGATAGTTCGGCACTTTTGCAAGCTCTATTTACTCCGTGATCAAATGACATAAATTATTATAATATTAGTGATCATGAAAGTTTAAAACTACAATAATGATATTGTGAATTTGTAAAATGAGCTTTATTTAAATGATTCACGATTGACAGATTTGTAAATAGAAATAAAGGAACATCATTATCGACGCTTGCGCAGATAGCAGTTTGATTCACTCAGATTAACATAACGGATATTGGTCCGAGGACACAGAAGTTTTCGTCCGGGCATACCCATCGCTATTATAACAATTTCAAATCAGCTATTATTTATTGGGATTCAACAAAAATATCTATTAATGATGTAAAAATAATTGATTTTAATAGGCGCAGCCATAACTAACGAATTTTTAAAGATTTTCTCTAGGTTTTCTTTTAGTTATAGATGATATTGTCATGTAACTATGACAACTTTTAACTATTTCAACCAGCAACCATAGCACAGCACAAATTACTTTATTACCTGAATATATAAATTATAATACAAACTAGGTCTAGGTACACAAGAAGTGGTGCTTTAAATTTGATTAGGTTACGGAAAGTAAGTTTTTTCGGCACTAGTGCTCTTTTATTTTCCTGTTATTTTTTATTACAGCAAGCAGTATGCAGCATAAAAAAGAAGCTAGTAAGCAGAGCTTATGATTTTTATTTGGCAACAGTGAATCTACGGATTTTAAACCAGTAAATTTGTGATATTCTTTCTTCCTGTGAGTTACTGGCTTGTTTTGCTTTAAAGATAATGTGGTCGACCTTTACTCTCAACTCGTACCTACAATACTAGAAATATTCTTTACAGAATAATATGCCTATTTTTTTTACAAACAGGAGAGTATTTTTCTATCGTATTTAAGCTTAAAAAGGACTAGAATCCAGAGCGTAAAACATATTAATAAAATAAATATCGTATTTAAATAAAGTTCTGAAAAAAAAATAACTGTTACTTTGCTGTCCATACTTTCTTTGGTAATATTTGCCTAAGGAACTCATTTAGGGTTGAAGAAAATATATTAAAATTTGTAATAGGTTGAGTTAGGAATGCTAGTTTGGTATGAGTAAGTAAATGGGATCAGACGTCATAGGATGAATACCGAACAACTCAAGCTTGGGTTTCGTCATTTGCATCAAAATTAGTACTAATATTAATATCGTTTCAGCCAGCAAAGGAAATAAACAGGTCAATGATTGATAATGTGGTGCTTCTTACTAATTAGCTATCAAAATTATGTCGAATAATTGGTAATGTTTATGCGAAACTATGTACCTATTTCCTCATGATGCGAATACGGAAAATAATTGTTTATAAGTACTTAGGTAGTGTGCGGTATTTCTTGTTATTATAGTTTGATATACTGATGTTTACCTTATAACCGTGAATTTATTTACTTTTAAAATTGATTGCTTATTTTAAAATATAATAGACAAGGCCTATTTTAAACTCTTGTAAGCACGAAGTAGTTAGACTATCACAAAAGAAGAAAGTAGCTAAGTTTGATTATGAATTCAAAATTTTTATTCTTGAGATAGCACAAATTATATTCCTAGACAGTTATAATATAATAGTAATTCTTCTCACTTTTTAATATCTTTATTATTATTATTTTATATCTTTATTTAATGTTAGTGACCTTGAAAGATTAAAACAATATATTTTAATACCTTTTATGTTCCACATGATGAAATGAACGATATCTATCTATTACTAACTGGAGTAGTAACAAATATTAAGACTACCCTTCCGAATACAAATTTTAATAAAACTTATAATATTATGTTAATTAGTTTGGTTTAG